AAAGAAAAGAAAAGAAAAGAAAAGAAAAGAAAAGAAAAGAAAAGAAAAGAAAAGAAAGGAAAAGAAAATTGATGCTTAGGAATCAGAGCCAGAGCTGCTTTGAGGTAAAAATATTTATTATTTAGTGAGGCCAAATAGAATTTATATCTAAAGGAAGACTTTGCCTCTTGTACTTCTTACCATAAACTGAGATGTCAAAATCCTAGTATGGTATTTCCAACCAGCACAGGCAACTCAAGCTGAGGGATCTTTGCTCTTTGCCATTCCCTTATGCTCAGACAAATGGCAAGTACGGATCTGTAACTCCACATCCTAGGACTGTCAGCTCAGCGTGTACATGCCATGTGATTCCTGTTTAGTTACAGCAAATGTGCATTGTGCTGGTGAGTAAAATGCTTGGTTCAGTAAACAAGCTCTGCAGGACTGAAATACAAAGGCCAGGATAAGAATAAACTGTTTGGTTTCAGAGTTGTTATTGTGTAAGTCTGCCCAGTCAAGCATTACGAAATGTTTTGCTAATCAGCTCCCTTTCTTAATTCTCAGTCTCACAAGTGCTCCCATTCCGTTGCCTGCACTCTCCCACAGCCCTGATTTCGTGTCACCTACCTGAGCTTTCCTTTTTTCTTTTGGGTGGCTTTTTCTCAGTGTCCCTTGTGGTGTTTACTGGCACCTCTTCATCTTCCTCCACCCCCGCTGGGTCTGGGCTGCTGCCCTCTGACTGCCCAGATGCCAAGGCCCGTCCTGGACTGAGTTGTCTCGTGCTCTCAGCTGCTGCCAGGTGCCAGGCAGGGTGTTGGAAAGGGGGGTGCTGCTCCCCAAACGCCCGCTCCTCCCGTGGGAAGCTCTGGGGAGCCGCCACCAAGCAGGAGGTGGAGAAATCGGAGTAAGCGTCGAAATCTGGTCCCTGGTGGAAGGAGAACGGTGCTGCTGGGCAGTGGTTCAGCCCCGGGGCTGTGCTGACGTCCATGTGGGTGCTCCTCACGCCCCCCCAGAGGGCAGGGGGGGGCTGGGGGCTGCGCATGCAGCTGCTGCTGGTGGGATCCATCTGCCAGTCCTGCCCGCGCCTCGGTGATGGCTCAGCCTTCAAAAGCAGAAGGGAAGCAGGGGGTGAATCTTCCAAATTTCACAGGATGGATTTCCTCCCTAAACAACAGTTTGTTTGTGGGGTTTATGCCCCACATAAACCCCACTGTGGGAGATCTTCTAAATCGTTACTGTGGGAGATCCTCTAAATCGCTTCATTGCCCCGACTGGGAAACAGGACCCAGACCTGGGCAGGGACCTCCATGAGCTGCTTCCCCAGGCCCGCAGTTTGCTCCCTCCTGAAGTGCTGGGCATGAGTGAAACACCTTTTAAATACTGTGCTGGGGAGAGAGTGACAAGTTTGCAAAGTGAAATGTGAGTAAGGGGAGGGAGGGGTTAACACACAATACTCTCAGCCCCTCCAACCAAAGCAAAGCAGGCAGCTATTAATCATTTGAAACCTTATATGCACATCTAATGGGATTTGCAGATGGAGCCTTTTAAAGAAACAATGTCTGTTTTTGGGGGTTTTTTTTTAAAGTTAAAGAGCTGCACACAAAAAAAGTCTTTAATGTTTCTTTGTGACGCTGCAAAGTTATTTTTATTGCACTGTTAACAAAACTCCCCAAATCTCGGGTTTAGAAAAAGCCCTAAAACATAATTCAACAGACACCAAATTTCAAGGACTAAAGTGGGAAATAAAAGTAAGAAAGGAGCTTACTAATTATATATAATTTAAGGTCCAATCCTAAAATTTAAAAAAAACCCATTAAACCTGGCTTGTACACACATGCAAGGATTTGAGTGGTGTTTTGTTAGATTGGTAACACATGTATTTACTGAGAGTTGGAGTTTGCTGCCAGTGACAGTTATTCTTTCTGTATTCCACTTTCTAGAGAATTTTCAATATGCCACCCCTCCTGCAAGGAAAGCTCTTGGTTTTATGACAATGAAAGACATGTTTGATGTTGAACATTTTATAGTTTTTCCTAGCAGAAAGCAGATTCTTAGACCCTGGAGCCACCAGAGTTGAAAATACATTAGCAGGGAATCTCTTCTCAGTATCTGATGCCTAAATCATTCTCTAGAAAGAACTCTCCTAAATATTTAAATCCGTTGTTCTGTTGCATTAGATAATAAACATTAGAAAGTATTTAATACTCACTGGCAGGAGGAAACCCCTCAGACTGCTCTTTTTCTGAAAGGCTGGGTTGTAATGAAATTATGAATGCTGCAAATGTTCCAGGCACTGGCAGAATCTAAATCAGAGTCCAGAACTTTTTGGCAATGCAGAATATTTAATTTACATTCTCTCTGTGTGTTTGTGTTGTGATATGTATAGCACTTCACTCGCACAAATTATTAGGGGGTTGTGTGAATTCAGCCTGAGTCTGTTGGTTTTCAGTCCTACCTGCAGTCTACAAAAAGGTCTAGTTGATTATTCAAACATTTATGTTCTTGCACATGTGCTTGCAGGGATGGAAGAGAAAGGAGGATTGGCCCTTGGCCTCTTGGCCACTTCAGTCAGGAACAGCTTCAGGCTCCCACTCAGACCAAAGTCTGCCTGCAGGGCCTGACTCAGCTCCCCAGCGGAGCTCTCACTGTTATTCCTCCAGCCACAGATGTGGGAAAAGGAGAAGTTGTGCCCTTCTGAGACGTGGGAACCCTCAGATCCCGCAGAGCTCCAGCACCCTCAGCAGCTGCTGCTGTCACTTGGTGCCTCAGCAGGGGCCAGGGGACCTCTGCATCTTCCTGACACTTTAGTCCCGAAAGAACAACAATCATCCCTTCTTGCTAAATCCCATTTGTCGTTTGAGGTGGCCACCTTTAACCTCTGTAAAGTCAACAACATCTCTTCAGTCAAGGACCGAAAAATTGGCAGGGAAAAATGGCAGGGATGGGGATGAGCTTTTGTGAGGAACGCTCCCGGAACAACCTGAAGGCTGGGAAGTGGGGATTTGTCTTGGAGCTCTCTGTCAGTCCATCCTGTGACTTCCCCAGGTGACCAGGAGACCCAGAGGAGGGCAGAGAGCTGGAGAAGGGCTGCCAAGGTCAGACCCAGCAAACACCTGTGAGGGAGAGGAGAAGGGAGCTCCGACAGCGATGGGAGTTGGGAAGGAAATGCCAAGCCCAAAGATGGGCTCTCTGGGTCTATCAGTCATTTTAATAGTTTTCTCAGCCATTCTGAAGGTATAAAAGAACAGAAGTGTAAAGCTTAGGCTAATAGAGGCAGCCTACCTAGAAGGGAAAAATGATCTCCCACCAATGGAAGTTAAAGAGCCGTGTGGTTAAAGAGCTCTATTAAAAGGCATTAGATATTGGACAAAATGTCAGGAAACGTCGACTTGCATTTTGCTCTAATGCCATATGACAAATTAGTCAAGCTTAAAAGGCCTGTATTTGCAGGAAATCAGTATTAGATTTTTGATAATTCGAGGGAGGGGATCTAGAGAGGGAGAAAGTCTTAATTTCTTCTCAAAAAAAAAAAAAGAAAAGAAAAAAGCAGCTATTTTGTAACAGTGATGTCATGGTTGGGTGGTATCTTTATATCTCTCCTCCCTAAACTTCTAGGAAAAGGTTTTCAGCCAATTTTTAGGGAGCTTTAAAACACATAAATTATATGTGATGCCAGGGAAATAACGTTAAGGAGAAGATGCCAAAGAACCAGCTTCTCCATCTGAAATAATATAAGGAATATCTGAAGTTCTGTGAGTAAATAATGCTTTTAACTCTGAAGAGTTTTACCTAAAGCATGGTACACCTACTGAGCTTCAGTGTCTGACTTGCTCTGTAGATGGGGAGCTGGCACCACCACCACAAGAATTTCTAATTTAATGATAATATTACTCTTAGCACTAAGTCAATATTTCCGGTATTAATTAAATTTGATGGCTTCACGGGATTGAAAAAAAAATCCTGCTTCAAGCACAGGAAATCTCAAGAAGTGTTCAGAGATGCTTACATGATGATTTTTCTTAGGAAAGAGAGCAGTAGAAGCAAAAAGCAGAAGAAAGACAGGGCCAGGTTTAAGTTTGCAGTAATTAAAAAAAAATAGAAAAGGTGGTGCTGCTGTCACTGGAAACGGGAAATTTGACCCAGTAAATTCTAGCATGGGTAGATGTTACATGTATTTCTTGTACCTTGAATCTGTTCCCACCTCATTGGGATTTTCTCGTGCAAATTGTTTAAAACACTGTCTTCTGGTTTCTCTCTGCTATTAAAAAGGGAATAAAAATAGGTAAATATATATATATAACAATTAACTGAGATTTAGCAATTACAGGAAGCAAAGTGTGTTCTGTTTTTTTCAGTAGCTCTGTGCTAAGAGAGCAAAGATCTCGGCTTGCAAGTCTGGACACCAACTTCTGTATTCCTTGCTCCTTTCTCCTCTTTCAGTTCTTTTTCTGGATTTCAGGCCCAGTGTCACGTAAAGATGAGGAATATCCTTTCCTTGAAAGGTTTCAAAAGCAAGCAGTGCCTCAGCTACAACGTTAATCCTTAAGACAGGAAAGACCCTTTGCCCAAAAGTGTGATCAATCATCTTTTTTTGCCCACTCTTGTCTTTATGTTGTGCTCGTGGTTGTGGCTGTTTCACGAAGACCTAAATGTCCTGCACAAGGTCCAAGGCAGCTGAAGCTTTCTGCTAAATTGAGAATATTTCCTAAGATCAACAAAAGAACAGTTGAAGAGTTTGACGGCCGAAGGGTTCGAAAAATACAAAATCAGCTCAGTTTTTGGCAGATTACAAAGCTCATCTGTTGTTTTCATCAGACAACATGAAAGAAACGGGAATCGTGGCATCCCCAAGGAGCAGAGAGGAACAGAACATCCAGCCTTTTAAAGCCATTTTTTGTGGATGTCTGCACTTAGACTTCAGGGCACGGTTCATGTATTTTGAGGCAGGGCAGAAGGCAACATTTTCATTTTGAGTCTTTGTTGTGTTAAGAATCCCGTGTGTTTCCAAATAAATATGTTTATAGGATTATCTGACAGTTGATAAACATTTAAATTTCTTCAGTGCTAAGACATCTGCAGTACTTATTCTTGAGACCACCCTTTGCTGCTGCATTTGTTATTGTCTCTACAATCTCTTTCACTGGAGCCAGTTGAACCAAAGACAATTACACGAAATTTTTGGAAAAGCTTTTTACAAGAGTCAGATTTCATTCCTATGTTGAATAGCCCTTACGGAAAATTATTTGCCCCCCCCTCCTTAAATTAAAAAAAGTTTTCTCTGAGTTCTTATTATCTGGAATGTAGTCACAGAACGTTTATTGTTTTGAGGAGATCAGTGTAAAATCTGGTTTTAAAGATGTCCTACGGACTCCTACCTAGTAATTAAAGTTTATCAGTTGCCATTTCATTAGGGAATTCTGCTGAAACTGTAGAACACATTACAGCTGTTGTGTTCTGTTGTACTACATCTTAGAACTGGAGCAACGATTACTTATTTCTGCTCGGTTTAAATCCCCTTTTCCCGTAAGTTCTGCTGCGAAGAAATTATTTGTTAGTGGTGGAACGTCTCCCTCTGTTGGTTCCTTTTAAAAAGCAACGTAACTGCAGCTCGGAATTTTTGTGAGGACGCTTTGTTTTCACACCACGAGGGGGAGATCTCTACCTGCGATTCCGGGTAAAGAAACAAGTGTAAAGTCGTAGGTTGAGTCCATGCCTCCACTTAAAAATAAATAAATAAAATGGCACAGCTGAAAGTATGCAGATACTTCATAGAAAGGCTCCATCATTCTTTCGGTTAACATTAAAAAATTGAAATAATTAAATAATAATAATAAATAATTAAAAAAATAATAGATAATTTAAAATAATAACAAATAATTAAATATAATAATAAATAATTTAAAATAATAATAAATAATTAAATATAACAATAAATTCATGAACTGTAGCACCTGTGAGTGTGTGAATTTCCATGGAATTTTGCTGAATTCCTCCTCCTCCTCTCCCTAGCCGTGAGCCTTGGGGGTGTTAGCACATTTGGGTTTATTTTATGGTTATAACTTAAACAATCCAGGCCCCTGCAGCAAATTATGAGTGTGTTTGCCAGATTGTTGTCTAGGACTAAGGGGAGAAGCCAATTTTTTTTTTCTTGTCTTTGGGCTGT